TGTGTTAGTCAAAAGAACACAGAGAAACAGACGTGACTTTTATTGGACAGCGGAAAACTCAATGAGCGCAAATAAGCGTTCTTGCATATCATGCCTTACGCATGGGTTTTGTAGATTTGTGACGCGAGCGGTCGCAGTGCGTGCCACCCCAACCCTGTTTACCCGATAAATGTAGTTTCCTTTCCTACAATGTTTCCTTGTTTTTTTTATTTCTGTGGAATTTTCTTCATCGAGCTTTCTTGTTTCAGTTGTGATTGTCTCCCGGATCCACTAGTAGAATCATCATTTTCCTACCTGTGCCGATGGTCTTCTCTACCGGCCGGTTTTCATTTTTCGAATTCTTCTTTGATGCGATCTATTCAAATCGTCTGTGAAGACAGTTTTACGCTACCCGATGGTCTTTTTGGTGCTGTTGGAGGCTTGCAACATCTGTCCATTGAGGTATCTAATCTATTAATTTTTTTATTCCGATTCGTTCTTTCCGTAAGGGATTATAGACGTATTGATGCCGATTAGGGATCTAATTTGAGGGAGAACAATTACGTTATTTGGGCACATTTCGTTTTACGATGTCCGAGCATATGTAGGGGATGTGAGATAGGAATCTCATTGCGCAATCGTATCGGTCGAGGTGGGAACAGACCATTTGGCCTACACAATACAGGATTACCGTTTGTATGAAGGACGTGGCCCCACTTGAGCCCGAAACACATGACATTCTGTATTTGCATGAAGTGCCAGGCTTACACAATCTGTCGAAAATGTCCCTGTGAGGGTTGTATGCCATGAACGCTCAATCGCGGGTCCTAATGACTTCAAATTGTTCTGAAAAACTGACGGATTTATGGCGATATAAGCTATGAGGGACATTTTGTACTTTCGCTAGTTCCTCTTGTTGGTTCATGTTTACCAACAGCTCTCTCTTTATTTGGACCTGTGAATTCCCGTGAATTACTTCGAAGCTCGAAGTTGTTCAAGTGAGGCACTTTGGTCACGGGAATTCACAGGTCTTTACGTGGCCTTTGTATGCCTAGGTGATTACCATTCGTTGCCCCCACCAAGCCAAAGTGTGAGATTTTTAACTAATCCAATGCAGATTGCCTAGTGGCTGATTGCAAACAGTGCTGGTTTCATTTTATAATGTAGTGACGTTTGTTGGCCGTCCTCCAGTGCCATAAATCATGGACCCCTCTGTTATGACAGTACTGGCAGGCTGTGCGCGTTTTACAACCCATTTACATCCCATAGTTTGTAAATTGCGCGATATAGCCAGGCCAGAAGGAGGTTATTCATATGAATACTTCTCTCCAATGTCTTCCCAGATGGTGAACGCGCATCTATAGGTTTCTTTGGACGTGTTTACAGTACCAATTGGTTTTTTTTCAACCAAAGATGAAGTTTTCATTGAGGGGCTCCTATGGGAGATGAAAAGAAATGCAAGCCCTACGTGCGTATTGTGAATAGCAGCGTCCAGTTACCAATCTGTAGTCGCTAAATGACTCTGTAAGGAAGAAAAAAGAAAAAAAATCATGGGGACCTTAAATGGGGATCTCATAGTCTCTCTGGGCAAGTTCTTCGGACCTGCTTGTTTTATTCCAGCAAAGCGATATCCTGCCACCTCTGGCTCACTTATCGTTTGCTAGCGTCATCCAATTTTAATACCACCAAACTGTGAAAAAAAAGCGAAAAAAAAAACGGTGAAAAGGAATCCGTGATAGCAAATAGTCTTTGACTTTTGGTGGACGGCACAACCAGGGAGGCGTCAGAAATGCCACTTATGAGGGACGCGGCGACCTCGTTACTTACTGTGAAGCCGCGAAAGTAGGACAAAATTAGAGACCGAAGGCCAGACTACTCAATACAAGGAAGGATTTCTACGAATTGTTTGAGCGCCTCTAAAACAGTACGTTTGGATTAATTGGTTGTCGAGTGAATTATTTGCATAGATCAGGATCTTTTTTTTCGTCCCGGCAGTACAACTACTGCATCTGATTATTTAGGAACATTCCACCCTATTTTTGATCAAATGAAATGGAAAAATGTAGATTTTAGAAGTTCCCATCTGGAAAAAATTCCACGCTAATAATTGTATATCAAATTTTAGGAGCTATTCAGAGCTCTGGTTAATAGTCAGAACTGGTACTGCAGCGCTGTGTCCTTGCCATGGGTTCGCGGAGTTAATCGCTTGAGCCTCTAGGTGTTTTCCCTGGCGTGCAGTCATTATGGGATCAGTGGTATTGAGATCCGGTCTGCTGATGAATATTGCCTGAGACGTGACAGCTTAAGAGCAGCGTTTTTACCGCGTTATTAGTGTCTCAATCTGCGCTGCCCTGTCCTGAGAACAATTACATTGCAACGTCTAGGGAATGACATATTGTAGAGCTTTCTGTGAGACAAATGACATCTATCGATTCATTCCAGGCATGTCGATCAGAGGAACTTTCCGCAGCTCTTTTGTCACCATTGACAAATTTGCGGTCATTACATCTCCACGAGGTGAGTGTACTTTAGAAGTGCGGGAATGTGGCAAAACAATCGTAATCTGCGACTGATAGGCGTGGCGAGCGACACCGCGCTCGACGGACGAGTTGTCCTGCCTGGCCGTTTGAGCTTGGTTGTGGAAGGAGCCCGTCATAGGGTGTTTCATGAGTTTACTGCATCGATAAACTGGTGCACATTGACAGTTTCCAGCGCGTAACCGCACGATAGGCCGTGCGCGACAACGCGGCAACTTACGATTGTCTTGTCCGTCTCCCTGCAAGCCGCTCTAGGCTTGAGGATGATACATACTTATAAGTTTTTTTTTCAGATGGCCCTGATAGACAAGACGTTCTCGATATCAGACGTGGCGCTAGAGCCTTTGAAACGGCTCGAGAAACTAAGCATTACTAATTCACGCCTTCTTCACCTACCGGAGAGGCTGCTCTGTAATCTTAAAAACCTTCAGGTTCGTTATTTTCAGGTTAACTTTCACTTAAATAGGATTCCCTTTGATTTCCCAAATTACTTGCAACTTGTTATCGCTGACAGCTGACATTTCCTATTCATCTTTGTTTGAGTGGTGCACAATCGATACGTAATTATGCTGTTTATTAGCCGCGTGGATCACTTCATTTTGTGCTTATACAATATGCCGGCGGGCTGCCATCTGGTCCTCGGGTGGCCATGATGAATCATGAAATGTCCGAGATTTCGGCGCACCACGTTAGATCAGCAGGTGGTTCAACAATCTGCGTTGGCTTATAGCCACAGGGGAGATCTAATGATATGCTAAAGTAGCCAGGTCTAGAATGATGAATCGTTGGCAAACGAGACGATTTCTTGTCAAGAGGGGTCAGATTTCGGATAGATTGATTGAGTTAGATTGATAACGATAGCCAAGCAGGTGTCTTGCGCCTTCTAACTTTAGTTGAAGCTTTTTCAGAGCATTCAAAACGTTGTCGACTCTGCAAAAAGTTAAAAACCCTCTATTTGACAAAGGCTGAAACAAACCGCCAAGTCCGCCATGGAGTGGTGGAGGGGGAGGGCATTTTGTAAATTGCAGGTGAGACACGGGCAATGCTGAGAAGTCCTGCACATTTCTGTAGAACCTTGAAATGGTACGAATTCGACGTATGAAATGGGACGAATTTGTCTTGAGACCTTAGTGTCTCGAAATGAGTCAAATAAACTGGAAAGTGGGCCGGGAGCGAAGGGAAGGGGGAGGTGGGCGAAGGGAATGGTGAAAAGAGCCATTGTGGCCGTACTGTGGGCAAATCACTTTACACAAAATTCGGACAACATTTTTTGCAGATTAAGGATAGAGAGGCGGGGAGCGGGGGAGCTAGGAGCTTGGGCAAAAGTTTCCAGCCTCTCTGCTCACAATCATTTCTTCGTTTTCAGGCACTAAATACCGTATGAAAAAAATCGCGAGCGGCTGGGACTGGCAGCAGGGTCAACCGTACGTCAAGGAGTTTCCAACAGGGGGTCTTATTTGTTCCTGGAGAGGGGTCGTATGTTGGTTTGATGGGAGAATTTTTACGTTTTCCCGTCTCGGGCGAGATGTATGTTTCTACACAATAGATATTGCGAAGGTAATATCTGTGGAGGGAGATAAACGAGGGGCTGAAGTGAGAAAAACAATTCCTCTCAGCGCCATGTTTGACCTGACTGGTACCATTAGGTAACTTTACAAAAGCTCACAAAACTTCACAAAATTTCCCAGTGTATCGAAAGGAGTTAGTGAAATGCCTCATTCATAGCAGACAAAATTTGTAAAGGTCAATTTCATGCTAATTTTCATTCGTAAATATTTCCATACATTATAACGGTCCGGCTTGAAATTGTGTTCAGTGTACCCATCCTGTTGGTTGAGCTCTCATTGCCAGGCCTAACGAACTCTATTCTCATGGGATCGCTCAATTTGTGCTAGGCCTGTTCGAGAGATGATAGTCAATTCTTGATTGCCTTTTGGTTCACTCAGGTCATTCCTTTGAAGTGACTTGTGGGAGATTCCAAGTATTCTGTTGAGCGTTTGATAAGCGCTGTGGGAAGGGTGCTTCTCCTTCGTGGGACATAACTCTCCCAGCTTTGGTTGCATGTCAAATCCGAGCCAGGAAACCTCAGGACACGTCGTACATTGGGGATTCCCTGAAAGGTCGATGTAGTAGGGGGGGAAGCGTATTTGTTCTGAAAGGAATGTTTTCGGTTGCTGCTTTACTCGGTTTTTCCCCGTTTCAAGTGCGCCATATATCGCACCTTCACTCCCCACTGCTTTCACTCCCCTGCGCCCAAGCAAAAACTCCGGGAAGCGGCAAAAAGTTGAAAGAATTCAAAAGAATAGTAGTTAGGAGACATGGAAGGGGGGTGTCGCACCACAGGTGGAAATTTTGAGTGGGGCCCTATTTTGCAGAAGTTTCCCCACTGGCAGGACGTGCCCTGGTAGATCTAGCACCTTAGAGCAGAACAATTCTCGCCATGATGTTGCATTGAGATCATGTCGATAATGGAGCAGGTGGAGATTAGCATTAGCTCGCATCGTTTGACACACAGGATTGGCGATTTGAGGCTTCTAGGGTGAATTCATAACGGTAAACATCAGTATGGTGACCGCTGATGCGAGTATGATGCTCCTCACAACGTCGCTAATTATCCGCATTACTTTGCTTTGATGGTCCCGCTACCGCGGTCGCTAATTAGCTAACTGCTTTCGGTATCATGTACGACAACACTAAAATGATGTCCTTTGTGGTTGTCAATAATGAACTCCCTGCTAATTAATGGCGAATTTTAGGTCCTGAACATATCATCGAATTGGATCTCAAGTCTCCCGTTCACAGATGCTTCATGTGTAGCAAATCAGCTGATTATTGTTGATTTTTCACACAATCGATTGGAAAGTTTGGGATCAGAGCTCCATGTGCTACCATCGGTCCGACAGCTTTCGCTATCGAATAATCGGCTGTCATCCATAGAAAAGGACTCGTTGTTGAAATGCCCACTACTGCAGCAACTTGAGCTGGATAATAATTTCTTGGAGGATGTTCAAAATCTTCCAGGTAACCTCTCAACCTTGTCCAATTATTTATCTACTTCGAATCCATTTTTGATGGCCTGATGTCCTCAAATTAACCAGAAGGTGTTCTTTTTCAGAGACCCTCATACACATCAATCTGGCTTCGAACCGGCTCGCTGTTATTCCACCTTCAGTTGCAGTACTTAAACACCTTGTTTCACTCAATATGTCCTACAATTCTATTGATGAGAACTCACCGACTGTTTGTGGTTAGTTTATTACAGAGTTGGTGGCGCTGTTTGGCTTAGAGGGGGGAGGAGGCAGAGGCCTAAGGGCTTGAACTCCTGAAGACTTCAACTGTTCGACTTTGAACCATTTCACAAATTCGTTCACAAATTCCGAAAATCCTTCCCTCACGTTGACAGAGTCCTTGCTCCTTTGGTCTCAAACGTTTCTTCGCATGTTGTCAAACTGGGATTCCGCCTATCAGGGAAAGGGCGCTAATATAGTTGGAGTGTGTGGGGGAGGGCACCGGTTGAAGCGGTGGCGATCGCGGCGAGTAAGATCGTCTACTCTCTTCCCCTCACCAAAGTAGTGAATCCTTCCTTCCCCAAGGCTTAGCCTCAAAGAGGGCTGGGGACTAGGGTCGCAGCGGCTCAGTGATACGGCGTGACCCCTTCCAGCTACGTCATCGACAGAACAACGAGGAAATGACTTGGGAATGAAGCCTTAACAATTACCTAGTTTTGCAAAAATTCACCAGTCTCTACAAAATGGTCTGACAGGATTGACAGGTACTAACGGGCCTTTAGCCCCCCCCCTCCATTCCTTATGGCCGTCTGACTGCAACTAGTTCGCGTCAGGGTGATACAAAATAAATTATTCCAGTATCGAATATGCTGGAGTTTCTTGACCTATCGGGTAACCGTATCAAGCTGTTCCCTTCACGACTGTTTCCGAATTCAACGGCCACAATGGTACATCTCCACCTGGAAAAGAATATGATTGCGGATTTGAAGCCGTTCGAACTGATGAATTTTACTCGTCTTCAAACGGTGAGTTCTTCAGAATATTCTCCTTGTTTACACGTACGTATCAATGAGGGAATGTCCGCGAATTCTTTATGGTCTTCTCAGTGAAGTGTCGGTGTACTTCGGGGGTGCGCATAGTGTCAATTGCATATATTACGTGGGGTTCGAGTGCGGTTTGGCCTTGAGCCACACTGTCAACAATGTACTTCGCGTGAATAGTGAACAGTTGCCGTTTAAGGGCTGAAATAAATGGCGAAGCGCGTGGGTATTCACTTTCTTATGATCCGTGAAGGGAATATTGGTGTGTCCTTGCAGATTGCTGGCATTTCAGGGTGATTTGGTTGGGGTGGAATTGTTGGAGAATTTGGACAATAATGACTGTTTACAGGGAAACTCAACGTACCCCCATGAACAAGCGTTTATAAAGTAGGGGTTCGGCGGCTGTTTACCACGGATTGTATCTAGTCACCCCACAACCGACCCCCTTCCCGGACAAGTGCAGCCAAAAGTTCTTCCTTCGGTGGTTACCCTGTGAACCTTATCACACTTCGTTCGGCGTGGAGTTGTTGTTTTTGCGCACCGCGCCCGCTGGATTTTTTTTCGTGTTTATTTAGTAAGCTCCTGGCATCGGGCGCTAGAACACCTCAGATAGCCTTATTTGGTGGAAACTTGCCCTCATGGACGTTTGCCCCCTCCCCCTTCCCTCTCTCCAACACGAGTAGAATGACATCGGCTTGGCGCGAAAACGCCCTGAGTTTGCGCCTCAGGCACCGGTGGCAGAACTGGCCTCTTGATGCCGTTTCTGTCCACAACACTTATTGTGTTTAGGAGGGTGTAAGGTTCGTGTTCAGAGGTCAAACCACTTCGAAGACGAATTTCAGCAGAATCTACCCCAGGGGAAATATTCGCTCGAAATCTGGACTAAATCCAGGTGCGCGCAGAAAGCGACTTGTTCGAGGGCCCATTTCTTTCTGTGTGTGCTAAACGGCCGTGCGTGTATCGATCTTCTTTCGATTTTCGACAGGCGAATTTAGTAGCGCGTTTTAATTCACGCTGGCTTCGGATGAAGTTCGTTGGATTTCTGAGGTATACGGTAAGAGTTCAATCGCATAAGGCAGTCTTTCGGAGAAGGCCGGGCCAGAAAAAGGCTCTCCAGCTTCCACCTAAATAGTGACGGCCACTAGTAGTTCACAAGTATATTCCCAGGCACGCGAGTTTATTTGTTTGCCGTTGTTCTTTGCGTGCTGCGTTCTGGGAAGATGTGACCTTCTTGACTCTTAGTACATTCTGGCATTGTTTCATTCCCGGCTGATCGCGTGTGTACAATAGAAATGGACACGGAGTCTGTGCAGGTCAAGTTGCCAGTCTCCAGCAGCGAAAACCTGTAATTAGCGCGAAATATGTCATTGAGAAGGTTGGGGTGGCAAATTATTCTGACACCTCTATTAGACTGGGGTGGTGGTCATTTGAGATGGTAGATTCGGTAATGAATACCAACAAGGTCAGGGGTTATACAAGTAGTTGTGAAGCACATGCAGTTGAAGTACGTCGCAGCTCTCCTCGCGCAAATGTTTGCATTTTGTCGCCCGAACGTCCGTCGAACCTCATAACAGGGCATTGCATAATCGCTTGACCACACCGTGTTGAGTGACAACGAACAAACACATGGCGTTCGATTGAGGGTTTGGCCCTCATCTGGCCGCGATTAGATCATGAATGTGCAGTGAGGGTGATGGAACAATTTATGAAGGTACTTTCAGCTGAATCTGGTCTCAAACCGCCTCGAACGACTTCAAGATGACGTCTTCGCTGCGCTTCATGAGTTATCAGCTCTTGGACTAGCGAATAACTCGATTGAACTGCTGGAACCAGCCGTCTTTGCTGACCTGGCTATAGGTAATTCTATCGATTTATGAACTACTGTATGCTTTAGTAATAAAATGATGTCTATCTCTAGACTGAGTTACTTTATGAGTTTTATTTTTGAGACTCACCAGCCGGAAGAAAAAGGACAGTATTTTTGTTTTGCAGTGGATCCTATTCAAACCCCACATATTAGCCGGAGGGGGAGGGTAGGGATAAACTGCCGTTAGAGCGTACCCATAGAACTTTTATAGCGCATGATTCAATTACCTAGGAAATAAAATAAAAAAGGATAAAGTCTTCGCCGTTAATCAATTCCATTGTGGGATGCGGCACGCATTCTACTTCCATTCAGAATCGTACTTATTGAATGTGATCTGGCCTATACAATGACTTGCGAGGGCCAACCGATGTACAAGTGTTCTTGTTCTCACCATTCCAGACTAATCTGCTACTAATTTACGTCCTGGAGGTAGAAGGCTTGGTTGGCCTGGGCGGGAGTCGACCCGGGATTCGAACCTAAAATCGCGGAGAGGTAAGCGCGCCCTTGTCACTACACAACCTTCCTGCCCAGGGCATAACAGTAGTTGGCATAATTGGCACTATTCTACTATTACGACGTCTAAATCCCAATTTATTCTCTGCTGGAAGTCCTCCCATAGAGAACACTTGGTGTCCTGATCACGACTGTTACATCTATTTTTGGCGCTCCATTTGGCATCAGTAGCCGCCCATTGTATCCGAAAGAGTGCGACGGATTAGTCGACCACAAGCAGTTTTTTTTAAATCTTCTGTGGAAATAATTGGAGTTGCAGTATATTCTACGACTGACTTTTCCTATTTTTTCTCATAATTTGGGTTCAAAAAAAGTGGATCTAATGTAGTATCTGGCAGTCTTTCCGGATTCTGTAAAATGGGAAAACGCCAGACTGGGTCTGCAAGTAGCAGAGGCATACCTGCGGACAGGATATTCCTCTCTTTGGCCGTAGAATCTTGAATGGGTGTCTGTGCTCGACGTAAGAGGAAACAATATTTTCGTGTCCGCGAGTATGGCTTCTGGTAATGGAGACTTAGCCTGGGTTTCCTTCGAAGTTTAACGTAACTCACGATTGCTGGATACTTCATATAGCGAGTTTTACCAAGAGTGCAGCTTCTGGCTGATTCAAATTTCGAGTTATTTGGACTATTTTGACAGAAGATTGCACGGCAAGTAGCCGATTTTGCAAAAATCAGATGCGGTAATGTAAGATATTGTAAAGTTCCAGTAATTCTCATGTTTCTTCTTCATCCTTTACAGTTCATAGCATCAAAATTTTGAAGATCTGATTTTACCGTGTTAAGGCGAAATCGACCTTTCTCACAATCGTCTCACAGAAGTTCCAATTGCGATCGCCCGTTTGTTCAAGCTTAAAAAGATCGATCTCAGCCACAATAAGATCAAGTAAGTTGTTTACGGATTTTGAGCTAAAGACCACAGACCTCAATCGTGCAACATGTCGTTTGCGTTGGCAAAGCTATGGCATATGTCAATAACCAGTGAAATTTCGTTCATTCCCCAGGGTAAAAGTGCGGATTAATCGCAGCGTATGAAAGATGGAGTTTTGTTGAAACAGGGGATGATGGTTCATTTTTTCAGGAAATTGCCCCAGTTTGTGTTCAACAAGATCTCACATCTTCACAATATCGACCTCAACCATAACGAGTTGTCATCGGTGAGTATTGGCGCGAAAAAAATGCAAATTTGATTAGGTTGTATCTGGACAGCCGCATGATTAGACCAAGGTCCATCGAAGAGTCTGAGATGCACTATGAAAAAAAGGGATGTCAGTTTTTTTTCAGGTCAGCCCATACGTGTTCTCAGATTGTGCCCATCTGAATTCTTTGAATCTGTCGAACAACCATATTTCGCAGTTGTTTCATGATTCGTTAACCAAATGCCCTCAACTGAAACGCATTGACTTGTCGGACAATCGCTTGGGTAGGTGCTAGGGTTTTATGAGAAGATTTCCAAATTTGGTGGGGAAAGTTGAAATGAATTTCTTCAGCGAGTCTGGCGGATGCTTTGTCCCAAGCTTCTGCGGTTCGCCGCTTAGATGTGTCCAGGAACCGTCTGGAATTGTTGCAATGGAGCGAACTTCCTCCACGGCTGGAACATCTTATTGCAGATTCGAATATCATCACTCTCTTGGGAGCTGCGTCAAAATCCAAGTAGGTTTTTTTCCAAGGTTTACTTCTGATTGATAAGGCTTGTAATAATCTACTTCAAAAGATCAGATTATAAGAAAATCAGTCTATCCCTACTCTGAGTTACTCCTTAGGTTCTATTCTTACTTCATCCTTTTGGAATATCTGTAGTCTTGTTCGTTCCGGATGTGGGGGCGGCGCTAGTCCGCTCTGCTCCAGTTTCTGAAGAGGGGAAAGCGACAACAATTGGCTAACCTGACGTTGCGCCAAACGCAGTCTCTAGACACGCCCCAGCATTCACAGCGAGCAAGACTTTGTGTCCTCACCTCAGTCCTGCCTTTACAGATACAGTTCCCTGTCCTAATCCTGACCCTGTGGTGTAGTTCAGTATAATAGAGCCACGGCCTGCGCCACTAGCAAATTTCTGGCTAATTAACTGACTTCATAGGCTGTAACGTTGCCTCGTTAAACCAACTGGGACCTGGCGCGAATGCCGCGTACGTGATACCATAAGCAACAGCTGTTCCGGCGCCTTCGCTGCGATCCGGATGTACTGAAGTACACCCTGGCTATTTAGGCGTCTGCTTCTTTCAATACGGCCCTGTACTGTGTGACGACGACTGTCTTTTATATAGATCTGCGGTTGTGGCGTGGAGGTTGTGTAACGGCAAATGGCACCAGGGCCAAGTATTGCTCTCCAACCAAGCCTTCTATCACTTTGTAGCGGATTAATTTTTTGCTCGAAAGCATAAAAGCTCATTTGAGCATCGGCTGGACTCCGAAATCATTGATACAGTCATCTGAAGTCAGTCGGTGCGTGGGTTTTGGCATGGCGCCAGCTCCTTTGATACTACTTTTAGAAGGTCCGAAACAACGCCAAAACCCATACCGCTCTGACTCGTCTCAAGTGACTTTCAACTTTTAGTTTTTTTTAAAAAAAAGATTTTTTCATGGGTCATACTGCATCCAAAAGCCGTGGCTTTTGTGAACAAAACTGGAATGCGTGGCGCATCTCAAAAAGGGATTGATCAACGATGAAAGCTTAAATCCACAAGTTTTTCTTAAAGGCAGAGATACATCTGCGGCAAACAGTGTCGGTGTCGCATGTTCGGGACTAAACTCTATGTTGTATAACGCTCGGGCCTAAAAGCCTTTCGTTTATTGGGCTTTGATTTGACCGTAGGATGAACGCTGTTAGATCTGCTTAGCACTTGCTAGCAAAAAACTTGTTAGCATCGGCCTAAATGATTGTATGTAGTCTTGTTCGCTGCGGATGCTGGGAGCGTGTCAGGGGAGCTGAGTTTGCGCGGAACTAACGCATTCTAGACCATTTGTGGAAGCTAGCGAAAGATCATAATTGGTGGAAAAGGTTGTGGCGCCGCACCATACCCAGCCCCACACCCCTGACACGCCCGAGCCTGCGTAGCAAACAAATCTGTAAGTACACAGCAATACATATGTTATGCAGACGCATACAAATGTTATCGTGCGATTCTGAGTGAAGCGGAAGGCATGGCGTATCTCGGAAAAAACCGAGCATCTCATTTAGTTCTAGATTAAATGTGCTGCAACCAAGGAAAGGCTATCGAGCAATTAATTTGGTTTTCAGAGTTCGAACAGTGTCGTTGCGTGGAAATCGAATAGAACAACTATCAGCTGATCAGGTTCCGGATACTGTAGAGACATTGGACTTGACTGCAAATCGCATCCAACATATCGCTCCGGCGACTTTCGCTTCGAAAACGGCATTGCGGCTGCTCGATCTCACTGATAATCATCTGGCAGAACTGTCTGAGGAATCAGTTGTGGCCGACGGAGTGCACAGCATTGACGTGAGCCTTCAGGGCAATCCTTTGCGTTGCAGCTGTGAATTTCACTGGATAAAGAAACCTGAAGTGGTAAGTCTGCCTAAGGGGCCGTTATTTTCACCTTTCCAAACATCTCTGGAAGAAATTTTCTCTGTTCTTCATGATGTCCCTTTATTCTGAATTATTTCGGCTTTTGAAGGCCCTCTTCATTTTTAGGTAAAGAGAAAGGTGAATATCGTGGGCATGTCGGAAACGCTTTGCATGCACCCTGTGACTAGCAAGGTGATTGCGTTGGATGCCGTGGATACAAAAGATCTGCTCTGTAACTACTCTCAGGTCTGTACCTCATTTTCTTTCTAGTCTAACGTTGGCGTTGAACGCCACTACAGTATGCTTTTCGTTGTCATCAATAATAAGCATATTATTTGAGGTTTGTGAGCCAGAGTGCGTTTGCTGTCAATTTGGGAACTGTGACTGCAAAGCAGTTTGTCCGGCTGGATGTTCATGTTTCCGAGATGCCCTCTTCGAGACAAACGTTGTGCGTTGCGAAAATTTGACTGGTTCTGAGATGAAGGTGAGTCAGCAAGACTTTCGCTCTCTTTCAAGGGCATGAAATACAATAATTCGGTGCTGGCTCTAGTAGTAAGGGTGCTATATAGTGAAAAAAAATGATGAAAAAGCGAAGCTAAGCGGCCAATAAGCTGCAAAAAACCTTTGTTCTGCACGGCATTGGACGAGTTTCCCGTTTTCAGCGTTTCAATAACCGCTTTGATAGATACGGCTGCACGTATGCATTCATATATCCATGAAGCAACGTTTGATACATTTGCACCTTCCTCATCAGTGGAGCCATAAGTATCAGCGTCGATGTGACTGTCCACCCACTTATGTGCGGGGGCCTCTGGGTCGCCATGTTGCACCTTGTTTAGGTACTATAACAGTGTTCTTGGTTGTAAAAGGCGCCACCGTAGCACCTTCCCAGAGCTAGCACCTTTAAAGCCACATTACCGCGATTCCCGGTCGTGGGTAATGGGGTTCCAGTGAACATTCGTACACGCTAGCTGACAGTAAAGAAATATGTGGATGAAACCACGTAATGCGCCTCATAAGTCTCCTGCCGTAAAAGAGAAACTATCTGCGCTTATGAGGGAGAAGAATCAGTTTTGAGGCGTCGAAAAGACAGACGAGGCGACAGCCATGGTCCCTCATGGAGGTGAATGCAATACCGTTCATATCTATGCAGGACAACAGCCCTATGCCAGTTCAGAGGGTGGTTCCAACTCCGTAGGTGGTGTGCCGTGAGCCAGTGACGATCGCAACACCCTCGCACAGTCATGTTGAGCCGCGAAAGAGGTACAACTTCTGGATTGCCTGGTCGAAATACTTGTATGAAGAGGGAGTCTTCCTATTAGGTTATCGGGGAATGAGTTCCTGAAGAGTGAGCTTGCTTAAGTTCGTTTTTTTTTTCTGTAGCAGACTTGTTAAAGGCTTCAGACCTTTTTACTGAGACCGCATTGTTGGAAGGCTGAGACGGCCTCTCAATGATAGCTTTGTTGCAGATTTTCACCCCAGCTGCCGTACCGATCTCAGCTACGCATGTGTACCTGTCTGGGTTATCGTTACCTGTCCTGAGGAGTCATTCGTGTTCCTTGGTAGGACCGCGTCTTGAACTTCTGCTGGCCACAATCACATGCATCCGGATCCGCGGTACTTCAGCCGAAGAGCCGTTATCAAAAAAAAAAAAAAAAACACCACTCCCAAAGCGGTCAAGGTGTTTGTGCAGGCTACTCAGAAGGTTGCAGCAGCATAGACGGCCGCGACAAGTGGTCAACGAAAAAAAGTGGAGGGAATCTCAATTCCTTGACGATCTCCGCCCAATTCTTTTCCATGATCAACTGTCGCGGCCATAGATGCTGCTGCCATGTTCTTAGTACCGCCTAGCTTGTTCATGCCCGAGACCGTTTTTTATCCAAAATATTCTAGTTGCTTGATCTTTCGGACAACGCTATAGTCCGTCTATCTGGGGATGAATTCCACAAAAGTGCAGCCATTTCTCATCTGTTCCTCAATGGTAATCGTCTGCAAACGATAGAAAGGGGCCTTATAGACAAGCTTCCTGCTCTGACAACAGTGAGTTCGGATTCGATTCATGAGTTTTATTTACAAAAATTGAAACCTTTATTATTTTGAGTGGTCCAGTGTATCGCTGATACATTCGAGAAAAGTTTACTGTTCCGGGTTTTCGCTCAAAAAATGCCAGTGCTAGCCATTATTCGGGTGAAACTATGCAATGGCGCCAGGGCACGTCCTGCCGTTGGGAAAACTTCTGCAAAATGCGGCCGGCTCTCAAAATCTTCTCCTCTGATAAGCCACCGCCCCCTACGGACCTTAGCCTCCTTCTAGCGACCAATACGACGTCCTCGCTGGAATTTCCAATGGACGATGTGCCCTGACACCGATCGCGTGCATCGCGAGGTAAGACCGCACTCTTAATTGAACGTTCCCGGACTATGTCTAGGAAAATAGGCACTGACATCAATCGCCCCTTGAATAACTGGGAGCGCCAAATGTAGCCTTTGAAACTGGCACTATGAGCCCTAACTGAACCGTGCGTGACGTTCCCAGGAAGAAACAGTTCAAAACTCTTGCTTTTAAAGACGAACTGTACACGCCACCTTCGAGGACGGTCTGCCATGTGCTAGCACAGTAGGTCTAAACTGCAGGGAGCGGGTCGCCCCAAGTGCCACCGAGAACGCAGGCTGCGTGGACAATCGATTCCGGAAGCCATCTCATATGCCAGCAACCGGCAGGCACACGGCCCTGAGTATAAGCAAACGCACGCTGGCTTTTACTGCGTTCTGTCAACTTCTATACTCGCCCTGAACGAGGCTCGAGCATACTGGTAACAGGATGTCGTCTTCATTTCCGCCTCTTACCTCAAGGTACAGCTTCGATGCCGAGGTCCCACAGTGAAGCACGCATTGAAGAGAATGACAGACCGCAGAAAAGTAGCGCGTTGGCTTAGTCAGGGCTTAGGCAGCTGAAGCAGCCGCGAATGGACGTGCGGAGATGGCCTCTGGAATCACCACATTTCCAGCCTTCGTTCCCATGCACTTTGACACGGATTACTGCTGGGCGACAGTTCTCCTCTACGACGACGAGAGGACCGAGGTCCACGGCTGCTGGTGTGCAGTTTGTCTTTGACCCCGTCTTGATAGGCTGTGCCTTTGTTTCGGTTGTTGTAACTCCAAATTTTTCCCACAGGCCTGATGTTCATGTTATTGTTCACTGTCATTCAGATGAACTCTGCCACAAAATGATCGTAGCGACATGTCGAGCAGGCTTTGATGACATCTGGAGTGCGGTCTTTATCGCTATCAGGAAATGCGTTCCGCTGTGATTGTAGTCCACGGTTCGCGGCTCCATCATGGATGCATCAGAATCGAGCCAGAGTTGTAGACATGGATCGCGTGCGCTGCGTGGAAAATATCACTGAAGCATTTCGTAACAACGACACAACTGTGCTTTCCGCTTATCCACCAAATGTTGGGAACGACATTTTTACGATGACTATGGACGGTAAGGATTCTTATTTTTCGCTGGAATGTCGTCAAGAAAATGAATGTTGAAATTTCAGAATTCCTCCGCGATTTCAACCGTACCATCTGTGTACCGCTGTCATCAGGATTTTTTGGACAAGAACCACAAAATTCGATATTGACAGTGATTTTTCTTACATCATGTGCTTTTCTTCTTTGTGCCATGACATTCTTGCATTTCACTGGTCAGGAAAGCCCACAATGACATGAGTCAAAGAAGGTTGGTCAGGTTCTGAACTGAATTTTTAGTGAGCTATCAATCAAGTAGAAATATTTATCCACTGCGGTTTTCAGATACAAAGCATCTTCGTCGCTTAACTGCTCATCAACACCAGGATCTTCTCCCCTGCCCATTCCATTGTTGAATTTCGATGCCTTTGTGAGCTATTCGAAGAAAGATGAGAAAATGGTCCTGGAACAGCTTTGTCGGTAAGCAATTCATTATATTGATGATCTGGGAAGTTTTCAGAGAATAGACTGCGTATTCACTTCCATTGAGGTAGTGTAGTGGCAGGTGGCACGCTTAACACGCATGCGATCCAGGGGTCAGTCCCTGCTAAGCTCTAGTCCATGCCAACCAAGCCTTCTAGCCTTCGAGGACAGCGAATTGCCTCCAGATTTGCCTAGGAGAATGCGAACACTGACGTGTACATCGGCCGGCGTCCGATAGACATTGTGTAGGCCACATCGCAGTCAAGGAGCCGCTACGATCCTGGGCGCAGCTCGGCACGGAGGGAGGGGCATTTTGCCCTTTCGCTGCTTTACTAGTTCCGGTTTACAAGTCTCACTGTGGTAAAACCTGTGAAATCTTTGAAGCTAGAGCAGGCTCGTTGAGCCAGCATCTGTAAAACCTCCTGTCAAGTCTTGTAAGCTCATGAAATAGCTCTCCACGTGGCTTGAAGCGTCGGTGGGAAGTAGCATAAAAGCAAAATGCCATCCATCGCCGACCTGCTCCCGATTTTGAATGGAAGCAGTAGGCGTGTTGTAGAATAGTGCACTTGAACAGGGGAAAATTGCCGGGAACGCGCGAGAATTTTTTTAAGCATAAGCGTGAATACCGCCCCCCCTGTCGACCTGCTCTGCGTGTGGTGGGATTCGTACAGGGATGATGTACGGCCTGCTCATTGACTTTAACCACGGTGCTAGGAGCATCTTTTTTTCTACGTTATAGTGCCGATACCAGTACGTGGAACAGGCCAATAATCGCATTTGTAGGAATTGGACAGGAATAGATTCCATATGCGTGGAAATATTGTCCCATAGGGTCATATACTGGGAAATGCCCGCAAACTGCTGGCTGACTGGTGTGAAAACCAATAAATGCTTTCAAATTGATAAAATGGGCGATTTTTGGGTGCAGTTCGGTGGGGGAGTGGGACCATGTCGCGTTTCCGCTACTTCCCATGGACGAGTCCACCCATCTAGAGAGCTGTTCCATGGCTTACAAAAGTTGACAAATTTACCATAGTAGCCCGACGATTGCTCCTGCTTCACTGGGTGAAACTTGTAAAACGAAACTAGTGAAGCAGCGAAAGTGCTGAATTTCCCCCCTCCCTCCCCCTCCCCCCCACGTCGCCGAAGTGCGCCGATTTTTTGTTTGTTCCGTGTTTTCTCTTCTCTGCGTTTTATACGCTATGACGAGTCCTTAGGTTTTATTTGATATATCAAGTTTTCAGACCGCTTGAAGACGAAGAATATGCGCTGTGTCTTCTGCATCGTGATGGTCCAGCCTACAACTCCCGGCTTCATGCCATCTCTGATGAACTCATTTCGCAGATGGAGGCTGCCCAGTGCCTAGTCATTGTATTGACCAAGAATTTCTTAGACAGCGAATGGAAAACATTGCAAGTGAAGGTGGGTAATCCACTTGTGCTTTTAAGGCTTCCCGCTCTCGTTCACTCCATTGGGATCTCAATAAGGAGCACCTTTTCAGACATCGCACCAACTATTCGCAAAGAATCGAGGGAAACGCGTCATTGCAATACTGGGAGAAGGAGTCGATCAGAACCTGCTAGATGAAGAACTTGGTCAAATCCTGAGAAAGAACACCTGTATCCGTCAGAAAGACCACCTGTTCTGGCAATTATTGCACAGCGCACTTCCTACCCGTCTGGCATCTTTGCCAGGGAGCGGAGATGATGGTTCACAGATCTACTCAGATATGTACGGTATAGTGCCATCAGCTGTGATTTGACTAGTTTTTCACGATTCTTGCCTGCACACATCAGTCGCTTTCCACACGATTTCCTTTCTATTCATCTGGCTGGGGTGCTTATAAACGGGTATTTGTTTCATGTGATATATGGATTCGTTTGAGACCAATCATGTTGCTTCGCCTGAAATACTGTTGAGACATTACGAGTTTTCTTCCCACTAATCCTTCTAATGATCTGATCTATGTCCTTTATGCATTATTTGTGTTCTATTATTCTGCCCATGTCTATAGTTTCATTGATTATTTGTGCCGAACTACCAAAAGTGTCTAAGCAGGGTGTAATGTGTATTTCACCATAGACCTCCATACCCTTTTCCTTTTGAGTTCTCTTGGCCCCGCCGCTTTTTAGCCCCTGCTTCTGTTCATCAGTCTCATTGATAGTCGGTGTGATTTGTTTGAGTTCTCTCAACATTTGTATGTATTTCGTCGTATAGATTGTTATGCTTTCAAAAAGCTATAGTGTTAATATATTTTTAATAATTCTTTGTTGTACATTTGTAAATGGAATAATCAAGGTTCGTGACGTCGACACGACGAGAAGAATCAAGAGGAGCACATTTTACGGTCAGCTTTGCGGACTTGATGGCACGGTCCGCGATGGGAGGCAAGAGAATCGTAATTTGCCGCTCCGCCGCGCGCGGCGATGGGCGCGGCGTTTTCTTAACTCGTGTTAACCTGTCGATTGGAGCACCGGACTTCATGTAGACCCCGTCATCGTAGACATTCATGACTATTTTCGGTTCTGAATTGCCTGTTGTCGTCGTCTACCTGGAACCATCGTCATTTGCGGGCGCGACGTCGCACGCGACGCCCACCAGCGCGGCGAATTACGATTCTCTTGTCACATACCCGTTTGCGATCATGTATAGAAGTTGAAAACATGGCGTTGGGAGGGTAGTGTGATCTGCGACGAAGAACCTGGGATCGGAATGGGGTTCTATCTAGGGCAGTTGGCATGTTTTTCTGCTTTTTCTTCACTATCGAGTTACTCAGAACCTTGTCGTCTATATGCAACTCCTAATCCACTATCTGTGATGGCGAATGATCTCGTACATTCCCTTTGAAGGCAAGTGGCACAATAGATCCTCAAGGCGTGTGGTAGAATACGCCGGACAGGAAGAATTTGACGCCTATTAACAGGGGCTGCGTGGCGCTTTTTCCAAGTAGGGTACCCTTGTGAAGCCTTATCAAGCTGCACCATTGTCGCTCGCATGCCCACCACGACTGCCCGCCCACAGTTCGCCGTAACCCTGTCACAGGCGTGGCGTTGTCGTTTGCGCGCGTGTAATGCGTAGTGAAGTAGGGCGTAAAATTTGCATGTTTTACATAAAGAACACTTGGAAAGTCCTTACACAAACTAGAAAATGCATCTATCCATTAGGGGTTTACACTCCTTATTCCACTGACCGATGGGCGTGGCGTTTGAACAGGTGTAGAATGGGTTACTCGTGAAATATTTTAACTCCGGACTGCTGTAATCTTGTCTATTTTGGACAAAGACCTGATTCTAGTCCTGGAAACAACATATCTCCCGAAAAGCTTGACCGCCGCCATGTTCAGTTAAAGTACGCAGCCACGCCTACTGCATCTCGTTTGTTGCATGCTCAGAGTGGTATGATTGGTGAAAACCCCGCCTTGACGACTTTCAATCCACGCCTTCTTGCATATCGTGTCATTTGCAGGGATCACGGCTGCACACCTCTATAGTATTCACTTGCCACGTCTAAAAAAAGTCTTATGATCACCGGCACCCTCAATGAGTACTCTTCCTCATTGCCCGCTCGGATCACAGATATAGATGCCTTCTTTGTAATCAAAGCTTGTGTTCCTCGGCTGCAAACGTAATCTT